CTAGTTCACGCTAGTATCTTTCCAATTAAAATCAAATCTTTCATAATTTTGTTTCTGTAGTTTATCTATAATTCACAACATCTGTAAGTGACCATGCACACTCTCTTTGTACAACTAGATTTTTACAGGAAGAGCAGATAAGTTATATTGCATATTTCTTTAAGTATAACAACAGGAAGCACTGTTGAACTCTAATAAGGTGTGCAGCCATAGGCACAGGGTTAAACAAGCACAAGGGAATTTATGGATTCTTGAACATTTCCAAATCTCTTTTTTGGACACAGACATGAGTTACAATGGCCAAAGATATGTAAATGAAAGCATCTGAAACATACGTTCTTCTTCAATCAACATGAGAAATGTTTCCCTGTACATTTTTCTTTCAAAATAATGTGCAGAAATTTATTATCTGTGATTATACCACTTCTCTACATTTTTCTAACATCAGGTATACCTTATTTCTAATGGCTTTCTAATAAGAAAAATGCATTTGGGAGTTTATGGCCTAAGAAGTTCTCTTTGATTTTCTCACTACAAGATTTAAAGCATCTCACAAAGAAATATGATCATTTTAGTTTGTTTGTTTGAAAACAAAAACAGCACACACTGATCTTCTTGGTACGTTATAATATTTAAAAGATTGTTTTCATTTTGAAAAAGGCAATATGGAAATGAGTTTTTAATATCATCTTTAAACACCTGTCTCCACACAATCAAACTGAACAGAAAGTTCAGATGTACCTCCTGTGAAGCCCTCTCTCTCCCTCGTTTTCATCACTTCCAAATCTGCCATTATCTTTGCCAATCTCTGGGCCTCCAGGGACCACAATATTTTGTTCTTGCTGTGCTTTGATGAGAAAGTCACTATTTCCACTTCACTTTCAAAAGTGACAGAATACAGGTTACTTTGGTCCAAGGAGTGAATAAATGTGGATCTTTAATAAAATTCCTGAACGATATAATTATTACAAGACATTGAGAATATTGGTGATGTAAGGGAGCAAGGAGGTCTCAGATGTGAAGGAAAAACAGAGTGTTTTTTACCAGACAATTCAAAGGCAAGGTACATCAGCTTTTAAAAAAAAGCTCCTTTTACACATTTCCTGTAGAACATATAAGTTTCTGCCACTTTAATGGCATGTTCCAAAGAAAGCTTTTGTTGAAATTTGCCAAAGTCACCTACAGATTTTAATTACAAATCTCCAAGATCCCTTGGCCACAGAAAGATGTTTCTTGTCTTGGTTTTGTAGGCATATTTCTTTCTTGTCTGAATTAACCTTGTCTTTCTTTCTCACTTTCTCTCTTTCTTTCATTTCTTTCTTTTAAATGTATTTGGTACAGAGTCTCACTATGTAGTTCGAGATCATGGTGATTCTTTTATTTTCAGCCTTCGAGGTGCTAGGATTAGAAGTATGTGTCACCATGCCCCATCTCAGTGGCCAGCTCAGTGTGCCCAGGGATGTGGCCTGCACAGGATGTGGCGCTAGGGATCAAACTCCAGTACCTGTGCTTGTCTAAGCAGGCACTTATTCTGTTGAGCTATGTAGCCAGACCTGTAACATTGTATTTGAATCTTGTCATTTATGATGTAAATATATGACCTTATTTCTCATAGATTCTAATATTTAGAATTTTTGATGCATTTAACTTTTGCTTTGTGAGTCAGTTGGAGTTTCTGTGGTATTTGGTATAATGTAGTCATTCTATTCTATACTTATTAGTTCTTGGTAAATTCCATATATAGAAATCATATATATATATATATATATATATATAGAGAGAGAGAGAGAGAGAGAGAGAGAGAGAGAGAGAGATACACAGAAAGACAGAGATGGAGACAGACAGATAGAGACAGAGAGACAGAGAGACAGAGAGGGCCAGAAGGACTGATTTCCATTGAAATGACAAAGAGCTAGGTGGCCATTAGTATAACCTAGGGGCTGGGAATTTAGCTCAGCAGCATAATTTCTGCCTGGCCAGTGTGAAGTCCTAAGCTTGATTCACTGTACAAAACTAATTAATGTAATTCACATTTTAGTCTAAAAACTTTGGGGAGAAAATGGGAGTACATTCAGGAAACAAGTTCTTTATAATATCCATACTGGGAAGAAACAGGTACCATCATCTTTTAATGTGCATTCAAGGACATAACAAGAATTACAGGTCTGGCCAAACAGCTCAGCAGATTAAAGTGCCTGCAAGCAGGTGCAGGGACCAGATGTTTTATCCCCGGGCCTGCCATGCTGATCCCACCCCCGGGGCACACTGAGACAGCAATTGAGACTGGGTGTGGTGGCACACACCTATAATCCCAGCTCTTGGGAGGCTGTAAACCGGCAGATCACTACAAGTCCAATTCAGTAGTGAGACTCTGAACACCCTGTAGACCCTTCCCTGAAAATACAAAAAAAAAAAAAAAAATTACAGAATTATATAAGAAATTAACAAAAGCAGAGGGTGAGACAGAAATCAGGTCTTACATGGATGTGGCACTTGATGGTGGTGTTGTAGAATGCCTAATGTACAGCTGGACCTAGGTAGAAACTAGAGAAGACAGGGAAGCTGTGGCTACATCCACAGAAAAAGGCACAGCCATTCTATGTTCTGCTCTGCCTGCCAGTGGGGACCATGGTCACTACTGTTACTGTCCCTGCCTAGCATTATGTTTAGTGAAGAGATCTTCAAAGGTATAGGACTGTAGATAATGTGTAGGTGTACTTCTACTTCCCAAGTAATGTATTTTATCAACATTGTATTCTTTCTTTCTTTCTTTCTTTCTTTCTTTCTTTCTTTCTTTCTTTCTTTCTTTCTTTTATTTATTTTTCCAGGGATTGAACTCAGGCCCTTGGGCTTGCCAGGCATGTGCTTATTCAACTGAGTTATCTCCCCAGCCCAAACATTCTATTCTTATTATATATATATATTTTTTAAATAAAGGTTATTGGACCATAATGTTGACATTACCATCTTTGTCAAAAATCAGTGCAAAGCTTCTAATGATATCATATTTACTTGCTTATTTATTTATTTTATTTTTTTAACATTTATTTATTGTGTGTGTGTGTGTGTGTGTGTGTGGCCAGCTCAGCCCACCAGGGGGCGCGGCTGGCTGGCATGTGGTGCTGGGGGATCAAACCGCGGTCCCTGTGCTTTGCCAAGCTTGTTCCAAGTAGGTGCTTTAGACCACTGAGCCATCTCTCCAGCCCCTAAATATTTTTTTTGCTTATTTATTTTTGTTCATTATGAAACAGTTTCAAAATAGATTAGTATGACAGTTACAATAATTAATACATTGCATATTGTCTTCATAGCAGTTATTCAGAGGACAAGATGTAGACATAATATCTCATCTAAATAATATTAGTACAAATCTTCTCAATGAACTAAGAGAAAGTAGCTATATATCTATCCTATCTTATGTATACACACACATATATATATATATTTCCGCAAAAAAACAGTATTTTATTTATACTTTTGCAAGGTTAGTAACATGTGATACAGGGTTTCCTAGTGACTAACAGCAGACTTCTTTAAGCAGACAGGTTTTTAATCTCAGTACTGAGGTAGCTTGTTTGCTTTAGGCACTGAGGTCTAGTCCTGCCTACACATATTTGATCCTTTTCCTAGCTTCCATGGCTCCCAACATATCCACCCTTTTTTTTTGTCAGAGATGTGTGTTCCATTGCAGTTAAAGAGGCTATATTTAGAGAAGTCTCTAAAGAACCTTTTGATACTTGATGCCAGTCCAAAGATTGTAGGTACTTGGCCTATATTGCATTATTTTGTTGAATTCAAATACCAATGATATCACTTAAATGACCTTATGGAGACACTTCAGAACCTGGACTTTGATTCACTTTTTAACTGTCAGAAATAGGAGCATGTCCAAAGAAAGTGAAAAGGACTGAGAAAACGGACCAATGCATTTGCCATTCATCCCACATTTTTGGCTTATTGGAGAATAAAGCATTACTTAATACAAAAGAGAACTGCTGCTTTATTTAATTATGAACACTTTCTGCTACATGTTTTCAATCTCCCTGGAGTTCTGAATCAATTCTTAAATATTGATTAGTGACAATTTTACTTTCTCTAAATGAAAAACCCAAAAAGATGAAGGCTCAAGGATCTAATCACTTCTAATACAGTTCCTCAATTCATTCTGTCTTCTGTATCAGAAACAATGTAAACACCTTAAATATTTTAGTGTTAAAACATGGGTTTTGCGTCATTCTCTTAAATTACAGACATCTTTGTCATGTCTAAATAGGAAGAAAATATAAATTTTAAGGTCTTAAAAATATCCAAAATATTTCATTCTTTGATAACTGCTAACTGTTGATATTATTATCCAGGTATAGAAATGTTCTCATGATGAAATAATGAAAAATTAGATGTAGTTTTTGAAATTAAGGTCAAATTCACTGAAAGAATATAGATCTTAAAAAGACAGAAAATAGTTTATATATATATGCATAGACAGATGGCAGATCAATAGATGTGTTTTTGATATCACAACCACCAAAGGATCACAATGCTGCTATGTCCCTCACAGGTTAGAAAACTCTGAACTGACTCTGAAAATTCTTCCTGAATTCATCTTCAAACACTTTCTCATGCCATTCTAATTTTAATATCAAGTGGCAGTGCACATCCCATATGATAAAACTCTGGGAAGATAGCTAAGATAATTATACTACTAAGTTCTGTTAGTTCATTGAGAGGAACTATTCATATTTATAGTGTTTGACCTATCTTGCATGCCTATATCTGGTAATCTGAGAAGCTACTTTAAAGATAACAATATGCAATATAATCACCATTGTTGAGTTTACTATCTTTCTTTTTGGAATTCTGTATATTTTTATTGTTTTTTTATGATCTTTGAAATTGAAAACAAAGAAAATCTTTAACAACAGAACCTCTTGTATACCATTAACAGATTCTAAGCTTAGACAATAGACACACACCATTTTTGTTTGTTTGTTTGTTTGTTTTTTAATATGGAACACATCATGAATTTGTGTGCCATCCTTGCACAAGGGCCACACTAATCTTCTCTGTATCTGTTCCAATTTGTAGTACATGTGCTGTTGAAGCAACGCAAGTACATGCGATGCATTTTTATCTCCCACAGGATTTGCGCGTCTGGGTGAATATTACGGACTCTGCTCTGGGAGACTGGAAGTGAACCCTGGCGGAGGCTGGACTCTGGTGTCTGGTGTGAACATCTCGTTACTCACTGCCCAGGTCATCTGTGCAGAGCTGGGGTGTGGCAAGGCTGTGTCTGTCCAGCAGACCATGCTCAGAAGTGCCAGTGAGCAGGTCTGGGCTGAAGAGTTCCAGTGTGCGGGTAAGGAGCCAGAGCTCTCGTTCTGTCCCAAAGTGCACTGTGCTGGAGGCAGCTGCCAGCATGTTGCAGTTGTTGAGATTGTCTGCTCAGGTGAGACTCAGCAGGACTTCAGCCTCTCTGCAGAGTCTTCATATGCCACTTTTACCATATTCTGTTTCTGTCTCTGTTCCCTCCCATGCCTTTCTCTGTCTCCCTCCCCACTTCCCCATCTCTCTGTTCCTCCTATTCCTTAGCCACTTCCTCCCACACTCCCCCATTCATCCTTCTTCTCTTTCCTGTCCTTTTCTCTACTTCCTGTTACTCCTCTGCTTCTCTTTGCTGCTTAAGATAACAAATTTGCATTTAAGATGGTTTTATATATCTGAGTTTACTCTTGAATTGTTTGAATTTCAGTGTTTTTGTTGTGAAATTTGGTATTTGTCTTAATTCTAAGTCAAAATTCTGTCTTCATTATAGTCCTTAATTTTTACCTCAAAATGCCTTATTTTCAATTAGAAATGATTTATTTGATTGATTTTAGCAATTTGATTTGAGAAGTTGTATTCATATTTTTAAGTACTTATTTTTCTTCTATTTTGTCCTACGTTCTTTGATCATATCTAAGCCTCATATCTGCTAACTCCTACAACTTTCCAATGGATATTTCTGCCTTTAATCTTATCTTTTTAATATGTCAGTATGTTTTGTGACATACTGTTTGTATAAACTGTTTGATGTGTTGTTGAATACTACAAATAGTACATGAAATATGAATTAAATCAGATATACGTTCTTACACCTGAGAAGATTAATCTTTTTGTGCACTATCCAGGATGTGGTCAATATGCTGACAATACAAATATCTGGTTTCTAAAAAATCAATTTAGGTGCTGCCTAAATAAAGTGTCTCTAAGAATTCATTCAATGGAATACACTCTACTCAGTGCATATACTATTGTGAAATTTCCAGTAAAATTTTTCTCTATCATATATAGAACTCTGTGACAAAAATTTTAACTATGGCAAGAACTTTTACCAGCATCTACATGATGTCATTCATTAGATTATTTTTTATTTAATTCCATTTCTTAATTTTCAAATATATCTGTGCCTTCTGGTTATATTATTTCTGTTGGAATCTAGACATCTGCTGCCCTGGAGTTGTAGCTCCTTGTCTGATCTAGCAGGCTCTTCAGCTTCAATGTAAAAACTGGAAAATGAATGGTTAAATGTTTCCCAAGAGACCATGGAACTGATCTGATTCCCTTAATAAAAACCAATCATTTTCCATATATATATATATATATATATATATATATATATATATATATAATTTAAAAGAACAGTTAATACTTATTTTTGATATCAATTTTTCATGCCTGTATCTGGAAATCTGAACAACTACTTTGAAGGTAACAACATGTAGTATACCAACTGCTGTTGATATCTTATCATCTTGTTTTGAAATTCTGTAATTTTTTTGAGGACTCTCCTAAATGATTTCCGCAGAGGTTTTACAACAGTAGAGTACAGTTCCTTTTATGCCATAGCTCCTCCAGAATTTTTATTTTATCTTCATGATACACATTCTTTCTAGCGAAAGATGGAATTTCACTGTTGTTTAAATTTGTATTTCTAGAATGACCAATGATGTTGAAAATTTTTTTCATGTATTTGTTTGCCATTTGTATTTCTTCATCTTTTTGGTTGGATCTTTTAATTTGAGGGACCTGATTTTTAAAATCTTTTATATATTTTAGATAGAAGTCCTTTATTTGAGGGACAGTCAACTGAATTTTTTTCCCAATTTGTGGGTTCCCCTTTTATTCTGTTGCTGATTTCTGCCAGTCTATTAAAAAAAGTTAATGCTTTATTTTTTCTTTCCTTTTAAAATTTTTATAAATTTTGAATGCTTATATTTGGTAATGTAAGCTACTAATTTGAAGACAGCAATATAAAATATATCAACCACTGTAGAATTCCTATAATTTTCTTTAGTGAAATTTTATATATTTTTGTTTGTTTGTTTGTGTTTAGTACAGGGTCTACAAAGGTCTCACTCTACAGATCTGACTCTAGTGATTTTCCTGTTTTCAGCCTCCTAATTGCTGGGATTACAGGCATGCTCCATCGCCCAGTCATAATCACCATCTCAGTGTGCCCCATGGGTGGGGCTGGCATGGTACCGGAAATGGACCCCTGGCCACTGTGTCTGCCTAAGCAAGCACTTCAATCCACGGAGCTATCTGGCTGGCCCTATAAATCATTTCTAATTGTTTTTACTATTTTTTATTCTATTTAAAAAATGAAAGTGAAAAATTCTAGTTTGTTTTAAATTTTTCTTTCTTTCTTTTTTAAAAATTCTCTTTAAAACAAAAAAGCAACCATTTTCTCTCCCTAGAGAGCCCACAGCTCCGCTTGGTAGATGGGCATAATCGCTGTGTTGGTAGAGTGGAGATTCTTCACAATGACTCCTGGGGCACTATCTGTGATAATGACTGGGACAAGAAGGATGCCAGTGTAGTATGCAGGCAGTTGAGCTGTGGAGATGCACTTCATGCTATGACCTCTGCATACTTTTCACCTGGATCAGGGCCCATATTCCTCCTTTATCTGAACTGCACAGGTGAGGAAGCCCATGTGCAGATATGCCCTTCCCAGGGATGTGGCAATGCCTACTGACTTCATAGTGAAGATGCAGGAGTCATCTGTTCAGGTATGATTAATGCATTGTACACTGTGTTGGTGAATGGAAAATGGCTGGAATTCAGGTGTCAGATATCTGGGAAATTGAGAAGTCCATTCAGAACCATGATTCAGAGTTGCTGATGTGATGTACTTCTCTTATTTCCCTCATATTGTCTCAAATGTTTTGGTGTCTCATTTCTGTTGTCTGATATTTAATTTCTAAAGTTTTATAAATGACTATCAATTTTTTTTAACGTTTACTTTGTATATGATTGAACATCTCCAAATACATGCACGCCTTCTTGGCAATAAGTTATCAGAGAGTACAGGATACCTTCTTTTCTTAGTGGAGTTGTGTAATTCCATAGGTCTAGTGTGAGACATTGTTCTACAGCAGAGTTTCAGGCATGTGAGCAGAAAGGTGGCATTCAACTTGTCAGTGATCCATGAATTCCATATTTAAAAAAAATTCTGTTCTTTGTGTTTATACACTCAATATTCAGAGCTTTGGCAAGAAAGTTCATAGCTATAGATTAAATATTCTGAGTCAGAAGGTCTTTAATCATTTACTAAAAAAAATCTTTTACATTTTACTTCTAACAATAAATTATAAATTTAAGCTTCAGAATGCTACTTAGCCATGCACTTGCAAGTCAAGAAGACATGAAATAAAACTTTAATGTGTAAATATCATAAGAGATGACATAGATTACCCTCAATGACTTCAATAATATTAAAAAGTTCACATAAAGAATTATTTGATAATAATGGCAATAAATGTCCCAAAACAGCATTGAAGATTTAGGGAAAAGAAGTATTACATATTATATTGGCAACAGAAGCTGTCAAAATGCATGTGAAGAGTCTCTGAGCAGCACTGAGGACCCAGATGTAGTAAGGAGAAATTCATATGTGTATTACAGGGAATCTTTACATACGGTTGCTAGGAGGTAGAAGGAGTTGAAAGAGGGACTCAGAGTTGAGGAACTGCATAGATAAGAATAGTGAAAGAAAAGGTCTCATGTATGAAATGCCATTAAATATTTACCCAGAGCTACTGTGTATCTTATAACAAAATGCTAACAAGGTATAAATACTGATTTTAACTGAGTGAGATTGATTAGTATAAATCACAGTTTTCCCCAGAGGAAATTTTTTTTTGTTTTCATTGTTGCCGTTGCTCACTCAAGTCTTTAATGAATATGTACAATAACTGAGAAGAGTAAGCTTAACTTTTGTCCCCAACATGTAAACTCCCTATAAAGCCATGACTGTCATTTTCCTCTGATTTATACTCCTGGAAATTGCCAACATTCTGCAACCTCATAAGCTATGAAACCATGTTTGTGTATTGAATGTAACAGAATGGAAGCAGAATCTTAGCATTTTCTTTATAATGCCTTCCTCCAACCTAATTATCAAATCTATTTAAAAAGCAGGTATACTTCATTTGAAGCCCTCTCTTAAAGTGACCCTTCTTGCTTCTTGATGTTCCATGATGGGAAGGTTATGACGTCTCTTTGGCTTTCAAAAGTGTCTAGGACACCAAAGGATATAGAGAAAATTTGTACCTCAGGAGAGGTACTGGATCTTTGTGAGTCTTGCAGTGGTCCAGTACCTTATTGATGGTGATATTCTCAGCATCTCAGGTAGCACAGTGCTTTGTCCCAAAAGAAGAGTAAGCTCCTAAGGGTGAAGGACTACAATGAGACATATAAATCCAGCAATGAAGATTCTGGTCGGAGAATCTGAGAATTTAGTTGGAAGCAGAAGAGTTATAAGTACAGAAAAGATGGAAAAGACAGGCTTGATCAAGATGCAGACAGGTTGATCTTCATAAAACATAATGAAAACCAACCTGCTCACACTGCTTCTTTTACTTGGAAAATGTGGAGCATCAAATCTCTAATAGTGAATACAGACAAAAGACAATAAATCTTGAAACAACCCTGTGTGAATCACTGACAATTCAGGAATTTGGCCCAAAAATAGAAAAAGCAACTTCTTCACTGTCTGGACTCTGGGACTCAAGTTGTTGTGTCACTTACACATGAATTGTGTGTGGAGAAGGTCAGTTGTGAG